CCCGGGCCGTGCTCCCCGCCCGGTGCTCCCCGGCCGTGCTCCCCGGCCGTGCTCCCCGGGCCGTGCTCCCCGGGCCGTGCTCCCCGCCCGGTGCTCCCCGGCCGTGCTCCCCGGCCGTGCTCCCCGGCCGTGCTCCCGGGCCGTGCTCCCCGGGCCGTGCTCCCGGGCCGTGCTCCCCAGACTGTGCTCCCCGGGCCGTGCTCCCGGGCCGTGCTCCCCGGCCGTGCTCCCCGGCTGGTGCTCCCGGGCCGTGCTCCCCGGCCATGCTCCCGGGCCGTGCTCCCCAGACTGTGCTCCCCGGACTGTGCTCCCCGGGCCGTGCTCCCCGCCCGGTGCTCCCGGGCCGTGCTCCCCGGCCGTGCTCCCCGGCCATGCTCCCGGGCCGTGCTCCCGGGCCGTGCTCCCGGGCCGTGCTCCCCGGCCATGCTCCCCGGCCGTGCTCCCGGGCCGTGCTCCCCGGCCGTGCTCCCCAGGCTGTGGGCAGCAGTGCCCGCAATGGCAGGGCAGGAGACGGCTGCTGGGGGAACGGCAGGCTGAACGGCGGCGTCTGGGGTGTGAGGAGCTGGTGGCGCTGGGTGTGGCAGGTGTGGGCTCCAGGAGGAGGAGGCCTGGACAGGCGTCCAAGGAACCGCCAGCCCCCCGAGCCCCGGGGCCTGAGCTGGCCCCAGGCCACGCGTGTCAGGGGGTGTGAGCAGGGGCGTGGGTGGGGGCTGGGTGGGGTGTGAGCGGGAGTGGGGGCTGGGTGGGGGCTGGGAGGGGTGTGAGCGGGGGCATGGGTGGGGGCTGGGTGGGGTGTGAGCGGGGGCTGGGTAGGGGCTGGGAGGGGTGTGAGCGGGGGCGTGGGTGGGGGCTGGGTGGGGTGTGAGCGGGGGTGGGGGCTGGGTAGGGGCTGGGTGGGGTGTGAGCGGGGGCTGGGTGGGGGCTGGGAGGGGTGTGAGCGGGGGCGTGGGTGGGGGCTGGGTGGGGTGTGAGCGGGGGGCGTGGGTGGGGGCTGGGTGGGGTGTGAGCGGGGGCTGGGTGGGGGCTGGGTGGGGTGTGAGCGGGGGCTGGGTGGGGGCTGGGTGGGGTGTGAGCAGGGGTGGGGGCTGGGTGGGGGCTGGGAGGGGTGTGAGTGGGGGTTGGGGGCTGGGTAGGGGCGGGGAGGGGTGTGAGCAGGGGCGTGGGTGGGGGCTGGGTGGGGGCTGGGTGGGGTGTGAGCGGGGGCTGGGTGGGGGCTGGGAGGGGTGTGAGCGGGGGCGTGGGTGGGGGCTGGGTGGGGTGTGAGCGGGGGCGTGGGTGGGGGCTGGGTGGGGTGTGAGCGGGGGCTGGGTGGGGGCTGGGTGGGGTGTGAGCGGGGGCTGGGTGGGGGCTGGGTGGGGTGTGAGCGGGGGTGGGGGCTGGGTGGGGGCTGGGAGGGGTGTGAGTGGGGGTTGGGGGCTGGGTAGGGGCGGGGAGGGGTGTGAGCGGGGGCGTGGGTGGGGGCTGGGTGGGGGCTGGGAGGGGTGTGAGTGGGGGTTGGGGGCTGGGTAGGGGCGGGGAGGGGTGTGAGCGGGGGCGTGGGTGGGGGCTGGGTGGGGTGTGAGCGGGGGCGTGGGTGGGGGCTGGGTGGGGTGTGAGCGGGGGCGTGGGTGGGGCCTGGGTGGGGTGTGAGAGGGGGCGTGGATGGGGGCTGGGAGGGGTGTGAGCAGGGGCGTGGGTGGGGGCTGGGTGGGGTGTGAGCGGGGGTGGGTGTGGGGGCTGGGAGGGGTGTGAGCGGGGGCGTGGGTGGGGGCTGGGTGGGGTGTGAGCGGGGCCGGGGTGGGGGCTGGGTGGGGTGTGAGCGGGGGTGGGGGTGGGGGCTGGGAGGGGTGTGAGCGGGGGCGTGGGTGGGGGCTGGGTAGGGTGTGAGTGGGGGCGTGGGTGGGGGCTGGGAGGGGTGTGAGCGGGGGCTGGGGTGGGGGCTGGGTGGGGTGTGTGAGCGGGGGGTGGGGGCTGGGTGGGGGCTGGGTGGGGGTGTGAGCGGGGGGCGTGGATGGGGGCATGGGTGGGGGCTGGGTGGGGTGTGAGCGGGGGGTGGGGGCTGGGTAGGGGCTGGGTGGGGTGTGAGCGGGGGCTGGGTGGGGGCTGGGAGGGGTGTGAGCGGGGGCTGGGTGGGGGCTGGGTGGGGTGTGAGCAGGGGTGGGGGCTGGGTGGGGGCTGGGAGGGGTGTGAGTGGGGGTTGGGGGCTGGGTAGGGGCGGGGAGGGGGTGTGAGCAGGGGCGTGGGTGGGGGCTGAGTGGGGGCTGGGTGGGGTGTGAGCGGGGGCTGGGTGGGGGCTGGGAGGGGTGTGAGCTGGGGGCGTGGGTGGGGGCTGGGTGGGGTGTGAGCGGGGGCGTGGGTGGGGGCTGGGTGGGGTGTGAGCGGGGGCTGGGTGGGGGCTGGGTGGGGTGTGAGCGGGGGCTGGGTGGGGGCTGGGTGGGGTGTGAGCGGGGTGTGGGGGGTGGGGGCTGGGAGGGGTGTGAGTGGGGGTTGGGGGCTGGGTAGGGGCGGGGAGGGGTGTGAGCGGGGGCGTGGGTGGGGGCTGGGTGGGGGCTGGGAGGGGTGTGAGTGGGGGTTGGGGGCTGGGTAGGGGCGGGGAGGGGTGTGAGCGGGGGCGTGGGTGGGGGCTGGGTGGGGGCTGGGAGGGGTGTGAGTGGGGGTTGGGGGCTGGGTGGGGGCTGGGTGGGGTGTGAGAGGGGGCGTGGATGGGGGCTGGGAGGGGTGTGAGCAGGGGCGTGGGTGGGGGCTGGGTGGGGTGTGAGCGGGGGTGGGGGTGGGGGCTGGGTGGGGTGTGAGCGGGGGCGTGGGTGGGGGCTGGGTGGGGTGTGAGCGGGGGTGGGGGTGGGGGCTGGGAGGGGTGTGAGCGGGGGCGTGGGTGGGGGCTGGGTAGGGTGTGAGTGGGGGCGTGGGTGGGGGCTGGGTGGGGTGTGAGCAGGGGCGTGAGTGGGGGCTGGGTGGGGTGTGAGCGGGGGCTGGGGTGGGGGCTGGGTGGGGTGTGAGCGGGGGTGGGGGCTGGGTGGGGGCTGGGTGGGGTGTGAGCGGGGGCGTGGATGGGGGCATGGGTGGGGGCTGGGAGGGGTGTGAGCAGGGCCAGGGTGGGCGCGTGGTGGAGGCTGGGTGGGGTGTGAGCGGGGGCGTGGGTGGGGGCTGGGTGGGGTGTGAGCGGGGGCCGGGGTGGGGGCTGGGTGGGGTGTGAGCGGGGGCCGGGGTGGGGGCTGGGTGGGGTGTGAGCGGGGGGCGTGGGTGGGGGCTGGGTGGGGTGGTGTGAGCGGGGGCCGGGGTGGGGGCTGGGTGGGGTGTGAGCAGGGGCTGGGGTGGGGGCTGGGTGGGGTGTGAGCATGGGGGTGGGTGGGGGCTGGGTGGGGTGTGAGCGGGGGCCGGGGTGGGGGCTGGGTGGGGTGTGAGCGGGAGCGGGGGTGGGGGCTGGGTGGGGTGTGAGCGGGGGTGGGGGTGGGGGCTGGGTGGGGTGTGAGCGGGGGCGTGGGTGGGGGCTGGGTGGGGTGTGAGCGGGGGCTGGGGTGGGGGCTGGGTAGGGGCTGGGTGGGGTGTGAGCGGGGGCGTGGGTAGGGGCTGGGTGGGGTGTGAGCGGGGGCGTGGGTGGGGGCTGGGTGGGGTGTGAGCGGGGGCCGGGGTGGGGGCTGGGTGGGGTGTGAGCGGGGGTGGGGGTGGGGGCTGGGTGGGGTGTGAGCGGGGGCCGGGGTGGGGGCTGGGTGGGGTGTGAGCAGGGGCTGGGGTGGGGGCTGGGTGGGGTGTGAGCGGGGGTGGGGGTGGGGGCTGGGTGGGGTGTGAGCGGGGGCCGGGGTGGGGGCTGGGTGGGGTGTGAGCGGGGGCCGGGGTGGGGGCTGGGTGGGGTGTGAGCAGGGGCTGGGGTGGGGGCTGGGTGGGGTGTGAGCGGGGGGTGGGGGCTGGGTAGGGGCTGGGTGGGGTGTGAGCGGGGGTGGGGGTGGGGGCTGGGTGGGGTGTGAGCAGGGGGGTGGGTGGGGGCTGGGTGGGGTGTGAGCGGGGGTGGGGGTGGGGGCTGGGTTGTGGGTGGGGGTTGGGGGCGTGGGTGGGGGGCTGGGTGGGGTGTGAGCGGGGGTGGGGGCTGGGTAGGGGCTGGGTGGGGTGTGAGCGGGGGTGGGGGTGGGGGCTGGGTGGGGTGTGAGCAGGGGCGTGGGTGGGGGCTGGGTGGGGTGTGAGCGGGGGGGGGGGGTGGGTGGGTGGGGGCTGGGTGGGGTGTGAGCGGGGGTGGGGGTGGGGGCTGGGTGGGGTGTGAGCAGGGGCGTGGGGTGCCAGGCTGACCTGAGGTTCCCAGGCTGCCCTGGCAATGGGCAGGGATTTGCTCTCAAACAAGCGTTGTACTGTTTGCATAGCAAACCTACCATTTAATTAGAAAAATACGCTTTTAATTAGCTTTCTCTTGACAAACACGTTGCTTATATGAACGGAGTTGGGGGGCCGTCCTTGGATAAAATGTGGAGCTTGCTCTAGCTGAAGGGACGCCAGGGGACAAGCCCCCCCACCCCCCGCCCCGGCCCAGCCGCTGCCCAGCCGTGAGGCGGCCCGGGCAGCCCGGAGCAGGGCCGGCCCCAGCCCCGAGGCTGGCTGGAACCGCACTTTGCTTGCTCGCCGTGGGTCACACTCGCAGGCCTGAGCCCACGAAACGGTGACATAGCCAAGAAGCCCTGCCCGTGGGCGGCCCTTTGCAGAGCTGCAGTCCCAGGACGGAGGGCAGAGGCCATCGCTAGCCGCCTCCCGCCTGGAGAAACAGTGCTTGCCGGAAAGCACCGCCACTCTGATCGGCCTTGGCGCCGCTCTCCTTAGAAGCTGAAAGCCATGTGTGGGGCATGGAAGGGCAGGGGCGGGGGAGGCCTGAGCAGCAGCATGGCCTCTCACCCCACGGGGGCCAGGGAAAGACCCCCACATCGTGGGAGCTAGGCTTGAAGGGTGGTCTCAGAGTGGGGGGCTCTGGCTCACGTCCTCACCAAGGTCACCGTGTGTAAGGGGCTGGGAGTCAGGGTGTGGGTCAGAGGGCACACCCCACCATGCCACCAAGGACCCAGGGCAAAGTCTGGGTCCTGTCCTGGGACAGGAGCTCTGAGAGGGAGGAAACACCCTACCACCGCTGCCCATTGCTCCCACGCTGCCCACGCCCCCACGCTGCCCACGGCCCCCACGCTGCCCACAGCCCCCACACTGCCCAAGGCCCCACGCTGCCCACGCCCCCACACTGCCCACGGCCCCACGCTGCCCACAGCTCCCATGCTGCCCACGGCCCCACGCTGCCCACGGCCCCCACGCTGCCCACGGCCCCACGCTGCCCACGCCCCCACGCTGCCCACAGCCCCACGCTGCCCACGGCCCCCACGCTGCCCACGGCCCCACGCTGCCCACGCCCCCACACTGCCCAAGGCCCCACGCTGCCCACGCCCCCACACTGCCCACGGCCCCACGCTGCCCACAGCTCCCATGCTGCCCACGGCCCCACGCTGCCCACGGCCCCCACGCTGCCCACGGCCCCACGCTGCCCACGCCCCCACGCTGCCCACGGCCCCCACACTGCCCACGGCCCCACGCTGCCCACAGCTCCCATGCTGCCCATGGCCCCACGCTGCCCACGCCCCCACGCTGCCCACGGCCCCCATGCTGTCCACGGCCCCCACGCTGCCCACGGCCCCACGCTGCCCACAGCTCCCATGCTGCCCACGCCCCCACGCTGCCCACGGCCCCCACCCTGCCCACGGCCCCCAAGCTGCCCATTGCTCCCACGCTGCCCACGGCCCCCACCCTGCCCACGGTCCCCACGCTGCCCACGCCCCCACGCTGCCCACGCCCCCACGCTGCCCACGGCCCCCACGCTGCCCATTGCACCCACGCTGCCCACGGCCCCCACCCTGCCCACGGCCCCCACCCTGCCCACGGCCCCCAAGCTGCCCACGGCCCCCACGCTGCCCATGCCCCCCACGCTGCCCACGGCCCCCACCCTGCCCATGGCCCCCAAGCTGCCCATTGCTCCCACCCTGCCCACGGCCCCCACCCTGCCCACGGCCCCCAAGCTGCCCACGGCCCCCCACGCTGCCCATGCCCCCCACGCTGCCCACGGCCCCCATGCTGCCCATTGCTCCCACGCTACCCACGCCCCCACGCTGCCCACGGCCCCACACTGCCCACAGCCCCCACGCTGCCCAAGCCCCCACGCTGCCCAAGCCCCTACGCTGCCCATGGGCCCCACGCTGCCCAGGGCCCCCACCCTGCCCACGGCTCCCACGCTGCCCACAGCCCCCACTCTGCCCAAGCCCCCACGCTGCCCAAGCCCCTACGCTGCCCATGGGCCCCACGCTGCCCAGGGCCCCCACCCTGCCCACGGCTCCCACGCTGCCCACAGCCCCCACGCTGCCCAAGTCCCTACGCTGCCCATGGGCCCCACGCTGCCCAGGGCCCCCACCTCTGCCCATGGCTCCCACGCTGCCCACGGCCCGCATGCTGCCCAAGCCCCCATGCTGCCCACGGGCCCCACGCTGCACTCGGCCCCCCCTGCCCACGGCCCCCACGCTGCCCACGGGCCCGATGCCCTCGGCCCCCCCTGCCCACGGCCCCCACACTGCCCATGGCCCCCATGCTGCCCACGGGCCCCACGCTGCCCACAGCCCCCACGCTGCCCACGCCCCCACGCTGCCCACAGCTCCCACGCTGCCCACGGCCCCCACGCTGCCCACACGGGCCCCATGCTGCCCATTGCTCCCACGCTGCCCATGGTCCCCATGCTGCCCACGGCCCCCATGCTGCCCACGGGCCCCACGCTGCCCACGGTCCCCATGCTGCCCACGGCCCCCACGCTGCCCACGGCCCCCACGCTGCCCACGGCCCCCACGCTGCCCATTGCTCCCACACTGCCCACACCCCCACGCTGCCCACGGCCCCCACGCTGCCCACGGCCCCACGCTGCCCACGGCCCCCACACTGCCCACGGCCCCCACGCTGCCCACGGCCCCCACGCTTCCCACGGCTCCCACGCTGCCCACGGCTCCCACGCTGCCACGGCCCCCACGCTGCCCACGGCCCCCACCCTGCCCACGGCCCCCACGCTGCCCACAGCCCCACGCTGCCCACGGCCCCCACGCTGCCCACGGCCCCCACGCTGCCCTCGGCTCCCACGTTGCCCACGGCCCCCACGCTGCCCACGGCCCCCATGCTGCCCACGGCCCCCACGCTGCCCACGTCCACCACGCTGCCCACGGCTCCCATGCAGCCCACGGCCCCCACGCTGCCCACGGCTCCCACGCAGCCCACGGCCCCCACGCTGCCCACGGCTCCCACGCTGCCCACGGCCCCCACGCTGCCCACGGCCCCCACGCTGCCCACGCCCCCACGCTGCCCACGGTCCCACGCTGTCCACTGCCCCCACGCTGCCCACGCCCCCACGCTGTCCACGGCCCCCACGCTGCCCCACGCCCCCACGCTGTCCACTGCCCCCACGCTGCCCACGCCCCCACGCTGTCCACGGCCCCACGCTGCCCATTGCCCCCACGCTGCCCATGGCCCCCACGCTGCCCACGGCCCCACACTGCCCACAGCCCCCACGCTGCCCAAGCCCCCACGCTGCCCAAGCCCCTACGCTGCCCATGGGCCCCACGCTGCCCAGGGCCCCCACCCTGCCCACGGCTCCCACGCTGCCCACAGCCCCCACTCTGCCCAAGCCCCCACGCTGCCCAAGCCCCTACGCTGCCCATGGGCCCCACGCTGCCCAGGGCCCCCACCCTGCCCACGGCTCCCACGCTGCCCACAGCCCCCACGCTGCCCAAGTCCCTACGCTGCCCATGGGCCCCACGCTGCCCAGGGCCCCCACCCTGCCCATGGCTCCCACGCTGCCCACGGCCTGCATGCTGCCCAAGCCCCCATGCTGCCCACAGGCCCCACGCTGCACTCGGCCCCCCCTGCCCACGGCCCCCACGCTGCCCACGGGCCCGATGCCCTCGGCCCCTCCTGCCCACGGCCCCCACACTGCCCATGGCCCCCATGCTGCCCACAGCCCCCACGCTGCCCACAGCCCCCACGCTGCCCACGCCCCCCACGCTGCCCACAGCTCCCACGCTGCCCACGGCCCCCACACTGCCATGGCCCCCATGCTGCCCACGGGCCCCACGCTGCCCATGGTCCCCACGCTGCCCACGCCCCCCACGCTGCCCACAGCTCCCACGCTGCCCACGGCCCCCACGTTGCCCACACGGGCCCCATGCTGCCCATTGCTCCCACGCTGCCCATGGTCCCCATGCTGCCCACGGCCCCCATGCTGCCCACGAGCCCCACGCTGCCCACGGTCCCCATGCTGCCCACGGCCCCCACGCTGCCCACGCCCTCACGCTGCCTACGGCTCCCACGCTGCCCACTCGGGCCCCATGCTGCCCATTGCTCCCACGCTGCCACGGTCCCCATGCTGCCCACGGCCCCCACACTGCCCACGGCCCCCGAGCTGCCCATGCCCCAACTCTGCCCACGGCCCCCACGCTGCCCACGGGCCCCACGCTGCCCACGGGCCCCACGCTGCCCACGGTCCCCATGCTGCCACGGCCCCCATGCTGCCCACGGCCCCCACGCTGCCCACGGCCCCCACGCTGCCCATTGCTCCCACACTGCCCACACCCCCACGCTTCCCACGGCTCCCACGCTGCCCACGGCTCCCACGCTGCCCACGGCCCCCACCCTGCCCACGGCCCCCACGCCGCCCTCAGCTCCCACGCCGCCCACGGCCCCCCACACTGCCCACAGCCCCCACGCTGCCCACACCCCCACGCTGCCCACAGCCCCCACGCTGCCCACACCCCCACGCTGCCCACAGCCCCACGCTGCCCACGGCCCCCACGCTGCCCACGGCCCCCACGCTGCCCTCGGCTCCCACGTTGCCCACGGCCCCCACGCTGCCCACGGCCCCCATGCTGCCCACAGCCCCCACGCTGCCCACGTCCACCACGCTGCCCACGGCTCCCATGCAGCCCACGGCCCCCACGCTGCCCACGGCTCCCATGCAGCCCACGGCCCCCACGCTGCCCACGGCTCCCATGCTGCCCACGGCCCCCACGCTGCCCACGGCTCCCATGCAGCCCACGGCTCCCACGCTGCCCACGTCCACCACGCTGCCCAACCACCAAGCCCCGCCAGCTCCCCTCCCCCCATCCTGACTTTGAATAAGTCCAGGGCCTTACAGACACACTCAGGAAGCCTCAGGAAAGAGGTCGGGACCAGATATGATGCTCTAAGTAAATGGCAACTGACCTTCTCAAGGTGAGATGGCGGCCCACAGAGTGGCTGGTCTGAGAACAATACTTG